GATTATGTTGATGATAAGGTATGTATGGAACTAATTTATGTTGTCTCACATCAAGACATGCTTATATCTATCATATACTACTCTCTATGGCTTTGGAATGTTCTGATTCAGCTCTGAAATTAAGCTTGCCATTTAACATATAAGACAGATAATATCTAAAGGTTTTGAGATAATAATTTTGGCAGAGGAACGATGAAGCACTGAAGATGATGGAGAAAGCTATAATCGCGGATGCTAGGAATCCGCTCCCGAAGTACTACAAGGCTAACATATTAATCAGCCTCGGTGATTATCACAAAGATTGTGCTCCTCAAGAGAGCAGTGTCCATGGGTTGTTTGGAAGGTTAGACCACCCCTTAACCATTCTTTTGCTCTACAAGCATCATATCATGGTCACATTTTGGCTTATGAGTTAGGAGTGAGATCGAATGTTAATTATGGTAACATTTTTCAGTTTTGATCATAGTTGTGATCATTTTCAGTTATGATCATAGTTAATTATAGTTGTGATCATTTTCAGTTATGGTAATTATGGTAGTTYTGATCATAGTAGAAGGCAATAATATAGTGTAGGTAAAGAACTGATATAGTGTAGCTTATTGGGAAATTTTTGAATTGTTGTTTCCTTTCTATAAAGTGAAATGGTGATTGCAAGAATTTTTCGACATCTAATATGTTGGTTTCTGATTTACTGATTCTTGTGTATTGCTTTCTCGGTTTACTGATTTTTATTTGTATGCTCTCCATATGTTGATTGGCTGTGTGTTTGATTTCTTTTCACTTACGTTTTGTTTGTATGAAATCCTTTGTTAGCAAGAGAAGATGGAAACAGCTCTTGAGGTTCTTCTTCGTTGGGAAAAGCAAATGAAACCAGAAATTCAAAGAGATTGATTGCAAAAAGCTGCAACAATGGCGGCATCGAAGCCATCACCAACAGATACCTGGGATTCCACCCTCCCTGGTCCTCCCAGCCGCAACAACTTCGGATCCGCCGATCTCAGTCCCTCCGGTCTATTCGCCTTCGCCTCTGGCTCCTCCGTCTCTGTCGTCGACTCTCGCTCTCTCCAGCTCGTCTCCACTATCCCTCTCCCTCCTCCTCCCGGGGCCCTCTCCCCCTTCGTTACTTCCGTCCGCTGGATCCCTCTCCCTCTCCCCCGCGATCTGCTCTCCACCGAGCCCTCCGCCTCTCATCTTCTCCTCGCCGTTGCCGACCGCCACGGCCGTGTCGCCCTCGTTGACTTCCATCTTCGCACCGTCGTAGTCTGGCTTAATCCCTCCTCCGATCCCAAACTTGGCATCCAGGACCTCTGCTGGGTTCAGGCCCGCCATGATTCTCATGTCCTCGCAACGATTTCGGGCTCTTCCTTTCTCTCAATCTACACCTCTTCCGGCAAAGTCTTCTGGAAGTACGATGCGGGGACAGAGATTCTCTCCTGCCTCCGCCGCGATCCCTATGATTCCCGCCATTTCTGCGCTCTTGGCCTCAAGGGATTCCTCTTGTCGGTCAAGGTCCTCGGAGACACCGAGAATGACGTCGTGATTCAGGAGATGCAGATACAGACGGATTTCAGTGAGCTGCTGAGGCTTGAAAGAGAGGCGGCCAGTAATGGCAATGGCAATTCCTCATCTTCTTCGCCTGCTTCGGCGGCATTTCTGTTGTACTTCGCCAGATTTACCTTCTCGCCACACTGGAAGAATATACTGTTTGTGACGTTTCCCAGGGAGCTGTTGGTGTATGATCTGCAGTATGAGACGGCCCTCTTTGCCGCGCCATTACCTCGCGGGTGCGCTAAGTTTCTGGATGTCTTGCCTGATCCGAGCAAGGAGTTGCTTTATTGTGCTCATGTTGATGGTAGGCTCAGCATTTGGCGTCGGAAAGAGTAAGATCTTGTTGTCCCTTCGGATGGCTTCATTTTAGCCATTGATGTTTCAGGGTTTTGTGTTGCCAGTCACCTTCTTTCATGGATTAGTTATTCGTTGAATCAGATTGAGTTTCCTTTTTCTTGTCAACTAGGGAATGGTTGAAGTAAAACACCCTTCACATGTTACAAGTATCATTCTGTAGAGAACGATGCGCAATATTGATTTTATTAAAAGCTAGTTAAAAATCACGGTCTCCTCTACTAGGAAAACATGGGAAGTTGGATTATCTGTTCTAGCTATACTTTATATTTAGAATATTTTTTATTAGATTTAAAGTTAATGGTGTAATGTTAACAGACTTAAGTTATCTGCCTGGATTCGGAAAACTTACTGAAGTAAGAAGCTTTCTAAGCTATATCAGCTCAGGTTTGATGACTCATGCTAGTCGTTGAGAAAGTCAACCGGTTGAAATCACAGCAGGCATAAAATTCATAGGGTTGATATTAGATTTCACATTTAAACTTCTTTTCTGGATCCCCGGTCATGTTCTGCATCTCTGGGAAAGGAACCAGTAAATACATAATTGTCATATTTGAGCTGTTCTACTGTCTAGCTATCTTTATATTGTGTCTCAGATTCGAAGTTCAACAGCATCTTATAATTATGACTTTGTATCTTGTTATGTTGATTAGACTTGGAAACTCCTGTTCTAGTTGTTCATCTTAACTATTGCTAGTTACATATTCTGTGATTAAAAGCTCAAAAGCGTCTTATCAATAGGACTTCGTATCTTGTTATGTTGATTAGACTTGGATACTCCTGTTCTTGTTGTTCATCTAAATTACTGCTGGTTCCATAACATTGCAGAGGTGAACAGGTGCATGTCATGTGTACCATGGAAGAATTTATGCCATCTATTGGAATGTCCATTCCTGCTCCGTCAGCTCTCGCTGTTCTCCTCAGTCAAACAGACTCCACTATGCAAACAATTACAAAACTTCACCCAGATGGAACTTCCTCTGTGGATTTGGATAACCCATTTGACTTTTATGACGAAAGCCTTCTTGGTTCTAAGACAAATTTTATATCGCTATCTGATGACGGTAAAATATGGAAGTGGGTCTTAAGTGTTGAAGGACTTGATGATGCTCTGAAAAATACATCAGACTTGGATATGGGTAGTGAAGGCTCTGAACCAGTACTTCCTAGAGCAATTGAGAAAAAAGTTTCTTTAGGTCTGGATAATGGACTAGTGGTCGCGCCTACAAATCAAAGCAGAAGCCACACATCAACGTTCTCCATGGGCAAATCAAACCTATCATTTAAGGTTGGTGGCTAGAAAGATTTTACTTAGCTAGTTCTTTGTCAATTAATGGCTGTTCTCCCAGAGAATAGAAGTTTGGTATTAGTTAGCAGGTTCCTCATTTTTATCGTTGTGTTTTCCACAACACGTGCTTAGTTGTTATCAATCTTTTTCCCACTTAACAGGGCCTTTACTTGTTTACATCGTTCAATGCAGATCAGCCTTGTTGGACAGCTTCAGCTTCTCTCTTCCACAGTCTCTACTCTTGCTGTACCAACTCCTTCACTTACAGCAACCCTGGCTAGTTAGTTTTATTTTTCCTTGTATGTGTGACGCTAAAAGTGTTTCTAGGAAAACTATATTGATTAATTTACGGGTTTATTTGAAATGAAGGAGGGGGTAACATTCCTGCGGCAGCTGTTCCTTTAGTTGCTTTGGGAACTCAAAGCGGGACAGTTGATGTTGTTGATGTATCAACAAATGCTGTTGCTGCAAGCACATCGGTTCATACTGGGGTTGTTAGGGGCCTTCGGTGGCTTGGAAATTCAAGACTAGTTTCATTTTCTTACAGTCAGGTGCGCAGATATATTTAAAAGTTCAACATATTGCTTTCTCTGTTTTCGGGATTAGTCTCTTCCAGAATTAAGAAAAGTTTTAGGTTTAGTTTTATTTCCACTAGCTGATTGAATAATTTAATGGAATTGAGATTTTGACTTCCAACAGCATGCATCGGTTTGTGGTTTCAGGTGAATGACAAAAGCAGAGGCTACATAAATAAGCTTGTTGTTACCTGCCTAAGGAGTGGGTTGAATAAACCATTTCGGGATTTACAGAAGCCAGAACGTACTCCCATAAGAGCTCTTAGAACTTCTTCTTCCGGAAGGTTGGATTTTATTGTCATTCCTTTTGCTCGAGTATATGATGCATATTGACAACATAACGAATGGCTTCATGCACTTCAAGCTATTAGCTTGTCATTATTAATTTAAGCTTAGGAAGGTGTCTCATTCCGGTATTGCAAATCTGTTTCATTCTGAGATGGCACATGCCAATCTGATCAGAAATGATACTGCTTTTCTATTTCTAGGATGAAGAACTATTGTTAAGTTGAAGTTATTAATTGGGTCCCAGAGCTTCTAGATACCTCTTCTGATGCTTATAAAATCTTTTTTCTGTCTTGTTGCAGGTATCTTCTAATTTTATTCCGTGATGCTCCTGTTGAAGTTTGGGCAATGACCAAGCATCCAGTCATGGTGAGTAAGCTCAAGCCCCGATGTATCTTGCTTTTACTACTTGACCATTATTGCCGAGTAGATGACGACTTTTTCTATCTCTTATTCTTATAAGCTTCGAAATTGCACTTTTACGTCATGTTACTGTTCACCCATACGACTTTTTTTCCTTAAGATGTCCCATTCTACATTTGATCATTTCTCTTCCCTATTTTTATTTCTTTGTATGTCCATTTACTTTCCCTGACCAGGTTATGCTTTTTGCATGTAAAGCTTGAGTGAGGGAAAATTTGGCACCACATTATAGATTGGCTCATCTTGGGTCTTGAACATCATTATACCAAATGAGATTGATTATGCTTGAAAGGATTTAAAGCTTTTGAAAATTAGAGGAGAGTCTTTTAAAAGCAACAAACTTTATGTGGCCTCTTCTTCGCACTTCCATGTGCTAAAAAGTCTTTGTAGCCTTGTTAATGTCTATTTTTGTAAACTTTCAAGAAAAAATTAATGATTGTGTAGAGAATGGGTCAGAACAGAGACTATAAATGTTCTTTTTATGAATATACTATTGCATTTAAGGCGTTTAGATTCCTTGTTTATAATCTTTTTGAGGTTATGTATTCTAATCAATCATTTTATGTTTGTTATTCCTTCTTATTTTGTAGCTTAGATCATTAGCTCTTCCTTTTACAGCAGTAGAATGGACGCTTCCAGCAGTCCAACGCCCAGGTCAAGGCGGTCCTTCCAAACAATTGCTCTCAGCATCAATGGCATCAGCAGACTCTAGTGAGATGTTTATGACATTAAAACTGTGTTATGTTGAATATAACCCAATCTTCGTTGACTTTTTCTTCTAAAGGTTGGTAATTGACATATATGTAGTGTCTCTGGGCTCGGATGGATCGCATGAAGAAACTGTAGAGAGTTTTGCATTTGCACTAGTAAATGGTGCCCTTGGGGTATTTGAAGTCCAAGGACGCAGGATTCGAGATTTCAGGTAAAACTGATTCCTTTAGCTCAGTTGTTGTTCATAAGTTATTTTTTTCGTACCAATCCCTTATAGCTGCATTTTGAATTCCTTGTCACGATGCTGATTATATTGCTGCTGAATATCACTCTTAATGAGAAAAATTATTTGAAATAGTGATTGCACATTATTGCTTACCTGCTGTAGAGTTCTTTTTCTCCTGATATTCTTGTTCTATGATTTGTTTCTAATGCCATCAGTCACTAAATTCTTCCAAAAAAAATTGTGAGATAATGGTTGGATCTTCGTTGCACAGTTTTAGAAAAGTGCAGACAATTCACTGCTTGATAGTGTTTCTACCATCCGCTGTCACATAAATTAGCAATCACCTTCTTGAACTTTGATTATTGTGTAATTTCCTACATATATAATGACATATGTATGATCCCTCCTCTATTTCTAGACCAAAATGGCCATCTACTTCATTTGTTCCTTCAGATGGATTGGTTACAGCAATGGCATATCG